TTAGCAAAATATTTCATCCACCTTTATTGAATATAATTTTCTAAGAAAAGTGCTTTTTTATCTTCATCCTTAATACACTTCACTTGAATTAAATCCTTACTTCTCCAATCTCTTTGTTTGGTTAACTTATACATATGTTTTTCTCCCTCCTTAGTATCTAATCTATTATATAAATCATTAAAAGCTAAGCTCTTTGCATCCCAAATAGCTTTCTTAGATTCTTTACGAGCCTTTTTATAACTTTCCCAATTATCAGAATTTTTATATCTAAACCAATTTTTAACAAATCTTCTTACTTTTTTATCTTTTCTTGCATATTTGAATTCCATCACAAACTATTTTTATTACTATGAGCTTTTTTCTTCGAAAATCTAAGCATATCTTTTGCAATATTCTTAATCTCACTAGCCACTTTTTTCTATATAATATTAGCATCCTCATGCACATAAAAAATTTTAAGATCTAAAATCTTACTCTCAAAAATATTTTTATTAATTTTCTTTAAATGCCCCCATCTAATCCTAGAAAATAATTTTACTTTATTTTTTATTTTCTGCCCCTTTAGCTTAAAGTCCAAAACTAATAATTGATGTTGGGTATGTAAATTTTTACTCTGAATAAATTAATCTTTGCAATATAAATAATCCATTTTTCTTATAAAAAAATAATCAATTTGTATTTTACTATATCTATTTTTATAAGTGATAAGATGCTTATCTCTTTTCTTAAAAAAGGTATTAGTTATTAAGAAATCATAAGCTAAAGAAAAATATAATATGGCCTTACCACCTTTATTTGTCATTTCAAATCCAATGCCACCATGAATGCTTTTAAATTCATCTACATGTCTACCAATATGTCCATTTAAATCTCCTCCAATAAAACTCTTTCTTCAAGAGGTATCTTTTGTATTATTTCTTCTAAGTCATTTCAAAATTTTAATTTTGAACCCATATCCAAACCTATTGGAGAAGCATAAGCACTTATAATATCTTAGCATTAACCATAATTTTTAAGCTATAATTTTATCTCTAATTTTGTTAACTTTTATAACATTATTCTTCAAACTCTTATCTATAATCATACATACACCATTTTTATTACGACACCTACCTGAATATCATAGTTTATAACCAATACTATCAATCTCCTTAGCCTTCTCTCCAACCCATTTAGTTTCCCGAACGCACAGAATATTTATCTTCATATTGATCATAATATATATTAATTATATTAAGTTTTCTATAAGGGAGCCAATATTCCAAGTTCCTATCCTAATTTTAGTTTCTTAGACTAACTTCTTTGTTTAGATCTATCCTTGATATGGGATCCTTGCCTATTTAATACTGCACCTGGGTGCCGCTGCAGTGGCCCCTGTACACTTGTCCCTGTATTTAGGCCATACAGCACGCCGCTTCTAGGGGACACCCTAACAGTAACATAATTTTTTAAAGGATTCATGTCATGATTATTCAACAAATTTTATGCTGGTTGTCAACTATCTACGCAACCATCCACTTTTCTCATCTAGGACTTGGGACTTTACAATGACATATTTGACCTTGTTACAAAATGATAAGATTATTATGCATAACATAATAAAAGGAAAATATAAAACACATCATTGACCTTTTTATTCATTTCATTGTGTTGCAAATATTTGAATTATCATTTAAATTTATGGTTCATCAACATAGAGTGTTTATTAAGATACTATCAAAATTAGCATAACATGTTACTTTTAATATATTGTGATATCTTCTTCAAAATACCAATCACATTTTATTTAAGTATTTTTTTAAATTCCCATGAAGCATGAAAAATTAGAGCATTGTGATCTATTAGGTTGTTGTAGTATTTATAGTTGATATATCATCAAAATATTATCTTGATTAGGCACGAATCTCATTATAAATATGAATCAAAGGCTTTAAAATTTAAAATTAGTACCATCTTTATCAAGCTTATAGTCAAGCTGAACATCTTAGGGAGACAAGCACACCGATACCAAATTCGATCCAATACGAGCCAAAACCAATTGACCAAAGCCTATTTGGAAGCTTTAGAGCATTAATTGGATGACCAAATGAAATCCAAATATAGCATGCTTATAGTCAAATCGAGCGGCTCGACAAGAAAAATCTAACGAGCTCAAAATAACTCAATTCTAACATCTTTAAGGCATTTAATTGCTTAATAGATGTTTCATAATCAAGGAGGTCACTATAAGTTGTCTGATGGACACTTCAAACATGCCCTTGATCTTTTTCATTTACTAAGTATGTCACCCTTAAAAAACTATAAATAACCCTCTCATTCTTCACAAGAAAAAAAAAAGGAGGAGAAGGGGAGAAAAATTAAAGTGCTCTCTTACATTTTTAAGCTATCGTTTTTGTCGACGACCTCCTGTTACTACCACCACCAACCACCAATATCATTGATGATCGACATCAAAAATCACCAACATCTTTAGAATACTATCAATATTTGACCCTACTGTTTAGTATAAACATTTGATCTTCATACTTTCCTCTTCTTCAACAGTGAAGAATGAAGATTTTTGTATCACTTGTTACATAATGAATTCTGGAACTGGGTCAGGACTCGTGATTTTTCCCTTTCCAAGTTTTCCTTGTAAGAAATTCTTTGGTCCTATCATTTTAATATATATATATATATATATATATATATATATCAATATAAAAAAAATTTAGTTTGTCAATTTGAATATAAAAAATTTTAGTTTATTAACTATAATTTTGAGAGCTTTTATTAATTCTAATATTTTTTCAATAATTATAATAAATTGACTTCTTTTTAAATAGGGAGATACTCTTAAGACAAAGTATTTACAAAACGATGGACATAATTAAACAAGGGTTCATTTGGAATAACTTTTTTAGTGCTTCATTTTTTCACACTGCAATTATAATTTTTATTTAACTATTTTTTTCTTAATTTTTTTAAGGAATTTATGTAGAAAATAGTTTTTTATAATAATTTTTTGAAAATAATTTTACTATAATAACTTCATAATCATTTTATAAAAAAATTGTAGGTATTCTAAACAGATCTTGAATCATAGATAAAAAAAGAAAAAAAGTTGTTAGATTATAGAAGCAAATTATTAGATTAAATATGTAGTCACTCTTCAATCTAACATAGAAAGTTTCTTTTGAAAATTGTATAACTTAGCGTGTGTTTTAACATATAATCTCATTTATTTAATAATACATTATTGAAATAAAATAAATCAACTATGCTGCAATATTTACGCATTCTGCTAGTTCTGAAATATAATAATACAATTTCATCAATTTTATTTTATTAAAATTAAAAATAGTATATAATATAAATGTTGCGTCTAGAAGTATCCGCAGCGGTAGAGAAATATAAAATTTAACATCTTAACTTTGTACAAAAATCTGGCACGCAATTAAATAAGAGAGATGGTGTAACATTCACTAGAGACACCAAGATTTTTATGTGGAAAACCCCTGAAAAAAGGGGGAAAAACCACGTGGCCTAGCCCAGTTTAAATGAATCCACTATTACTTGCAGTCGATTACAAATGAGGCCCTTCTTTAGGAGGAAGGCCTTGTCTTGATGTACATTATATAAAATACATGATGAAAGTATAAAGAGTCACTATCGATATGTTCATTTAGTCGGAAGGACTATAGTCGATGAGCAACGTAAGTCTGAAGGATCATAGTCGGTGGGTGATAGAGGTCGGAAGGACTATAGTCAGTGAGCGACGTAAGTTAGAAGGATCATATTTGGCAAGCAACGGAGGTTAGAAGGACTGTAGTTGGTGGGCGACATAAGTCAGAAGGATTATAGTTGGTGGGCGATGGAGGTCAGAAGGGCCATTGTCTAACGACAAAGGTCAAAAAGATGGCGCAAGGTAGAAATCTTGCAATGGGAAGAAATTCAGCATCAGATAGATGTCCGGCGAAAGACTGACAATAGGCAGAAGTCCGGCGTCAGGTATAAACTTGGAGACGAGCGGAGGTCCGGCGTCGGGTAGAAGTCTGACGTCAGTTGGCGACCGTGGAGAACTCCGGCATTAGATGGAATTTCAAAAGAACTCCAGCGCCACTTGGAGTTCGGGTGAAACTCTGACTTCACTTGGAGGATGGTGGAATTTTGGCGTCACTTGAAGGTTGGGCGGAATTCCAACGTCACTTGGAGTTCGGGTGAAACTTCAGCATCATTTGAAGGTTGGACATAAATCCAGCGTCACCTGGAGTTCGGGTGAAACTCGAACATCACTTGGAGGACGGACATAATTCTGGCGTCACTTTGGAAGTCGGGCGAAATATAGGCGGTGGTCGAGGAGGAGTTTCTTCCCTCATATTCTTCTATTCTCCTGTTCTTCCTTCCTTCTTGCTTAGGTCCCCTCTCAAGAGAAATGAGGGGTCTATTTAAAGATATTATGGAGTGGCATGTCCCGTAAATAGATGAGAGACCAGGGGCAAATATGAAGTGATTCAGATGGACGGTCGATATTGAATCCTTTGATATTGGATCATTTATAAAAAATTTGAAGGTCTTAATGATGTCAGAATTCAACGATCTTGAGCTCGTTGGATTTTTCTCGTCGAGTCGCTCAATTCTACTATAAGCACGTTAGGTTTAGAATCCGTTTGGTAACTCAAACTGTGGTACGAACATTCCAATAGCACTTCAGGTCCTTGATTTGGACTCATTTGGACTCGGATTGAGTCAAATTTGGTGTCGTTATGTTCGTATTTTTGAGATGCTTAGTTTCACTATAATTTTCTGAAATCAGAGTTCAAGTGATCCCAGATTTAATTTTTGAAGCTTCCGTACCGGATCAAGATAATTTTTGCAAGATATATCAATAAATATTTTACATTGTAGTTAAATTTTTTCCAACAAAATCAAATCAGTTATATTTTTCTTATAGATAGTTAGATACCATTGGGAAGGCGAAGCTTCCGTGTTTAGCAAATTAGAATCCGCTTGTCGAAATAGTGGACATGAGAAGAGCCTTTGCCACAAATTTATGATATTGCCACTCATATCCCCACAAGCTTCCTCTTTAAGCACGCTTCCCACTGATGACCTAAAAACCTTTCTCCACCTTTACGTCAACCTCCCTCCCCACCTCGACGGCTATGATTCTCCGAATTTCCCTTTCCATTGGTTTTTGTGGCTTCGTCCTCGTCGACCATGGGGGATACAGTTTGATCTGTTGAAGTTTCAAAGCCACCTTTCTTAGTGCTCTTCATCTGTCTTGGTATTTCAAGCACTGTTCATCGCTTTTCCTATTTCTCTCAGCTTTGACCGGTGCTATTAATCACTTGGGCTGCGTATTTTTCTAGGTAACATTTGTCGGAGCCCACGGCAGAAGCAGTGTTCATGAACATTGTACGGAAAAGAGGATTTGAGTCTAAATTCAAGATCGACACCGCGGGCACTATTGGCTACCATGAGGTTTTATGCCTTCCATTCTCTCTGTTTGGGTATTTATGTTTTGCTTCTATTTTGGTAACTTTGGGGAGCTGATCTAGGGTAATCCAGCGGACTCGCGCATGTGGGCGGTGGCTAATAAGCGTGGAATCGAGGTTACTTCAATATGTACATATCTATTTTTGTTACTTCAATAGTTCAAGTTCCTATCCTAATTTTAGTTTATTAGACTAGCTTCTTTGTCCATATCTGTCCTTGATATGGGAACCCTTGCCTCTTTAACATTGCACCCGGGCATTAGTGCAGCAGCCCTTGCACACTTGTCATTGTATTCAAGCCATACATCACATCGCTTCTAGGGGACGCCCTAGAAGTAACCTAATTTTTTTAAAGGATTCAGGTCATGATTATTCAACAAATTTTACGCTGGCTATCAACTACCTAACACAACCCTCCACTTTTCTTATCCAGGACTTGGGACCCGATAATGACATCTTTGACCTTGATACAAAATGATAAGATTATTATGCAAGACATAATAAACGGAAAATATAAAACACATCTTTGACCTTTTTATTCATTACATTGTGTTGTTAATATTTGAATTATCATTTAAATTTATGGTTCATCAACATAGAGTGTTTATTAAGATACTATCAAAATTAGCATAACATGTCACTCTTAATATAATGTGATATCTTCTTCAAAATACCAATCACATTTTATTTAAGCATTTTTTTAAATTCCCAAGATGCATGCAAAATAGAGCATTATGATCTATTAGGTTGTTGTAGTATTTATAGTTAATATATCATCAAAAAACTATCTTGATTAGGCACAAATCTCATTATAAATATGAATCAGAGGCTTTAAAAATTAAAATCAGTACCATCTTTATCAAGCTTATAGTCAAGCTAAACATCTCAAGGAGACAAGCACACCGATACCGAATTTGATCCAATACGAGCCAAAACCAATTGACCAAAGCCTATTTGGAAGCTTTAGAGCATTAATTGGATGACCAAGTGATATCCAAATATAACATGCTTATAGTCAAATCGAGCGGCTCGACAAGACAAATCTAACAAGCTCAAAATCACTCAATTCTAACATCTTTAAGGCATTTAATCGCTTAATAGATGCTTCAAAATCAAGGAGATCACTATAAGTTGTCTGATGGACACTTCAAACATGCCCTTGATCTTTTCCATATTTACTAAGTATGTCACCCTAAAAAACTATAAATAACCCTCTCATTCTTCACAAGAAAAAAAAATAAGAAAGGAGGAGAAGGGGAGAAAAATTAAAATGCTCTCTTACATTTTTCAGCTATCATTGCTGTCGACGACTTCCTGTTACTGCCACCCCCAACCACCAACATCATTGACGATCGACATCAAAAATCACCAACATCTTTAGAATACTGTCAAGATTTGACCCACTGTTTAGTATAAACACTTGATCTTCATACTTTCCTCTTCTTCAATAGTGAAGAATGAAGATTTTTTTATCACTTGTTATATAGTAAAATTCTGCAACTGGGTCAGGACTCATGATTTTTCCCTTTCTAGTTTTTCCTTGTAAAAATTTCTTTGGTCCTATCATTTTTATCTATTCGTGTTGAATTTTTGTGTACTACTAAGACGTGAAATACAATCTCTATCGACTTAAATTTTCTAGCATTGAACAAGGTTAGAAAGAATAACTCTAAAAAGAAAAAAAAAGGAACTATCCAATCTTTAAATGAATTAATAGGGACTATTATTTTCTTAATTTTTTTAATGAATTTATGTAGAAAATAGTTTTTTATAATAATTTTAAAAAAATTAATTTCACTATAATAACTTCACAATCATTTTATAAAAAAATTATAGGTGTTCTAAACAGATCCTGAATCTCACATAAAAAGAAAAAAAAGTTGTTAGATTATAGAAGCAAATGATTAGATTAAATATGTAGTCAGTGTTCAATCTAACATAAAAAGTTTCTTTTGAAAATTGTATAACTAAGCATGTGTTTTAACATATAATCTCATTTATTTAATAATACATTTATGAAATAAAATAAATCAACTATGCCACAATATCTACGCATTCTGCTAGTTCTAAAATATAATTAAACAATTTCATCAATTTTATTTTATTAAAATTATAAATAATATGTAATATAAATGTTGAGTCTAGGAGTATTCGTGGCAGTAAAGAAATATAAAATTTAATGTCTTAACTTTGTACAAAAATCTGGTACGCAATCAGATAAGAGAGAGGTGTAGCATTCACTAGAGACATCAAGATTTTTATGTGGAAAACCCCTGAAAAAAGGGTGAAAAACCACGGGGCCTAGCCCAGTATGAATGAATCCATAATTGTTTGCAGTTAATTACAAATGAGGCCCTTCCTTAGGAGGAAGGCCTTGGCTTGATGTACATTATATAAACTACATGGTGGAAATATAAAGAGTCATTGTTGACATGTTCGTTTAGTCGGAAGGATCGTACTCAATGAGCAACGTAAGTCAGAAGGACCGTAGTCGGTGGGCGACGGAGGTCGGAAGGACTGTAGTTGGTGAGCAACGTAAGTTAGAAGGGCCATACTCAGCGGGTGACGGAGGTCAGAAGGACTGTAGTTGGTGGGCGACATAAGTCAGAAGGACCATAGTTGGCGGGCGACAGAGGTCAAAAGGGTCGTTTTCTGACGACGAAGGTCAAAAAGATGGCACAAGGTAGAAAACCATCAATGGGGAGAAATCCAACATCAGAAAGATGTCCAACAAAAGTCTAACAACAGGCAGAAGTCCGGCATCGGGTATAAACTTAGCGACGAGCGGAGGTCCAGCGTCGGGTAGAAGTCCGACATCAGTTGGCGGTCGAGGAGAACTCTGACATTAGATGGTATTTCGGAAGAACTCCAGCTTCACTTGGAGTTCGGGTGAAACTCCGGCATTACTTGGAGGTCGGGCGAAATTCCGCCCAACCTCCGGCATCACTTGTAGGTTGGGCGGAATTCCAACATCACTTGGAGTTCGGGTGGAACTTCAGCATCATTTGAAGGTTGGAAAGAAATCCGGTGTCACTTGAAGTTTGGGTGAAACTCCAGCATCACTTGGAGGTCGGATGGAATTCCGGCATCACTTTGGAAATCGGGCGAAATTCTGGTGGTGGTCGAGGAGGAGTTTCTTCCCTCCTATTCTTCTCTTCTCCTCTTCTTTCTTCCTTCTTGCTTGGGTCCCCTCTCAAAAGAAATGAGGGGTATATTTATAGACATTCTGGAGTGGCATGACCCTTAAATAGATGAGAGATCAGGGGCAAATATGGAGTGGTTTAGATGGACGACCGATACTGAATCCTTTGATCATGGATCGTTTATAAAAAATTTGAAGGTCTTAATGATGTCGGAATTCGGCGATCTTGAGCTCGTTGGATTCTTCTCTTTGAGCCGCTCGATTCGACTATAAGCACGTTATGTTTGGAAACCATTTGATAACTCAACTTGTGGTACGAACTTTCCAACAGCGCTTCAGGTCCTTGATTTGGACTCATTTGGGCTGGGATTGAGTCAAATTTGGTGTCGTTGGGTTCATATTTCTGAGACGCTTAGTTTGACTGTAAGTTTGTTGAAATCGGAGTTTAAGTGATCCTGAATTTAATTTTTGAAGATTCCGACTTGATTTTATCTCGAGATTCGTGCCGATCAAAATAATTTTTGCATGATATATCAGAGATATATCAATAAATATTTTACTTTGTATTAAAATTTTGTCCAACAAAATCAAATCAGTTATATTTTTCTTATAGTAGCTAGATACTAGCGGGAAGGCGAAGCTTCTGTGTTCAGCAAATTAGAATCCGCTGGCCGAAATAGTGGACATGAGAAGCGCCCTCGCCACAAATTTACGATATTGCCACTCAGCCGTCCCCGCAAGCTTCCTCTTTAAGCACGCTGCCCACCGGCGACCTAAAAAGCTTTCTCCACCTTTACGTCAACCTCCCTCCCCACCTCGCATGCTACGATTCTCCCAATTTCCCTTTCCATTGGTTGTTGTGGCTTCGTCTTCGTCGACCATGGGGGATACAGTTCGATCTGCTGAAGTTTCGAAGCCGCCTTTCTCAGTGCTCTTCGTCTGTCTTGGTATTACAAGCACTGTTCATCGCTTTCCCTATTTCTCTCGGCTTTGACCGGTGCTATTGATTACTTGGGCTGCGTATTTTTCTAGGTAACATTTGTCGGAGCCCCGCGGCGGAAGCGGTGTTCACGAACATTGTACGGAAAAGAGGATTTGAGTCTAAATTCAAGATCGACTCCGCGGGCACGATTGGCTACCATGAGGTTTTATGCCTTCCATTCTCTCTGTTTGGGTATTTATGTTTTTGCTTCTGTTTTTGTAACTTTGGGGAGCTGATCTAGGGTAATCCAGCGGACTTGCGTATGTGGGCGGCGGCTAATAAGCGTGGAATCGAGATTACTTCAATCTCCCGGCCAGTACGGCCTTCTGATTTCAGGGACTTTGATCTCATCCTTGCAATGGACATGCAGAATAGAGGTAGACCAGTAATTTTTATTTTTTTCATTGTGTTACTACAGATTTATCGTTTTTATTTTTTTCCTTACTCCATATTGATGAACTAGTATGTTATTTTGCTCTTTTGTTTGTGGGTGGGTTATATTGCGACGGAATTGACTGTGAGTATATTTTCAGATGATCTACTAAGTGCATTTGAGAGATGGAGCCACAAAGAGAAGCTCCCTAAAGATGCCTATAAGAAGGTAAGCTATCATTCTTTATTCTAGTGGAAGTCAAAGCACTATAAATTAGATTTTTTTTTTTTTTTCTCTAGTTTGGCCAAATCCTTGACTTTTTAATCTTTTCTGTGGAGACTTGGGAGAGATGATTTGGTTGATAAGGTTCAATTGCTTTCCCTCTACTTCATCGTATAATAGACCTTTTCATATTTCAACAGTAATTTTAACATTTAAAATTGGTTTGGAATGCAAAACTATAAAAAAATTTCTAAGATTTTGATATGATGAAAATTGCAAAGAGGAAAGTGTAAGCTGAGAGGCTGGCCTAAATGCTGAAATATTTGAGTTGCTTAAAGGAACTATGTTCTTCTCAATGCTTGAATAAGAATCTCACATATGCAGCTGCAATAAACTCACAGGACAGATGTATAGAATCCTCCCAGACTTTATGAATAAAACGTCACTTTATTTCTACTGAAATTAGATATTTAGATGAATAGACTTTTACTTTCTTTTAATACTAGTGCATGTGGCATGAGGGTGCATGGTAGTAGGTCTACTAAGAAGATAAGTGGCTAGAATAAATTTAGAAGGATTAGGAAGAAACAAAAATGTCAGACCAAAGGTAAGCGAAAAAAATTTGTGCAAAATGAATTTGATTTTTCATATAGCGCTCATCAGGAATTGATGATATATGGATTGGTATAGTAATGATAAAATCTCACATTAAAAAGGATCTTAATTTATAACTAAATACCTGTCTTAGAATGATTGTAGTAATTACTCATGCATGTCATAGGAAAGTAATGACATTTCAGTTGTTTCTTGCGGTCATGGGAATTTAAGGGGAGCAAGGGAGCAATGGGAGCATTCTTCTTTAAAAACTAAGTTGTTCATGCTTATAATAAGGCATGGAGCTACATATTTGAATTTCACTCGAGTACCTTTTTAGTTACTTTTCAAAAAGATAGGTAGATATTTAGGGAGGGATATGTGCATGGTGTAGTCTGTTGCAATTGCTTTTTATTCTTAATCAAATGTTGAGGGTGCATAACACAAGAACAAGTGCCTTAGCAGCCGCGGGTGGATGCCTTTGTATGGATGCATGTTTCAACCCCAAGTATGGGACATAAAGCACATTTGATTAATGCACAGATTCTATGATTAGGACAGGCATAATGATTGGAACAATTATGCAGTCCTATTCGGCTATACAATCACAGGTACTAAAAGCCAATAAATAAATTATTTTTTATAATTAATAATTAGATTATAAAGGTCACAAAAATTATACTATTGGTGGTGATCTTTTTGCATGTCATACTTTTGTTAACTTGTGGGTTGGTTTTGGACTTTGTAAACCTTTCATTTATATTAATTCCTTGATCCAAATAACTTGGGACTGCTAAAAATAGAAAAAAATACACTGATATCCTAATGTAATTTGTATCAGGATAGACTTGAATGTCCTTGAATTAGTGCTAATATGGAGTATAATTCATAATACCATACATAAGCACTAATGTCAGCGCATATCCAAAGGCATTGAAATCCATTCCAATGCAATTATGCCAGGATATCCTTGTGAAATTTCTTTTCCAAAAAATATTATGAATTGCAGTTCTCTGATTCTTGCAGTGTGGCAATCTTTGATGGGCTAGAAATAAATTATCTTTTGTAGATATGTTGGTCAAATGTCGATGAAAAGATTAGGTGAACAAATATTCTCTACATGATAAGTACATTGTTTTTTGTAAAGAATTTTTTCTCATGATTTGATTTTTTTTACATCATTAATATCATATTTCATGTATATACGTTGATCTAAATGTAATTGCCTTGTTACTGATATAATCAATATGTCAGAAGTATGAAAATAGACTGTTATAGGATAATTATCACTTATGCTGAGCGCAACTCCTGCTCCAGTGCTGCCTGAGATATGATTGGACCAGGGTTTACTTTGCAAATCAAATTAATTATAACTAAAGATGATGAAGTAAAATAACAGTGTATATGAAAAAGGAAGGCAAAGATTTGTGCTGCAATTATTTTTTACTATAATTGGGAAAATAATCTCGTTACATTTGATTCTCAAAAAATACTTTCATTTTGATTAAATAAATGCAGGTAAATGCAAGCAAATAGATTAAATTATTTTAGTAGTTGTTTCTAAAGTTTAGGCGCATGCTTGATGACAAATTCTGTCAAATAGGACAAAATCTCAGTCTAAACTTTCAATTTGGATCTTATGCATGAATCTTACTACATTATCGCATTTTGACTTTATTAATGTTCTTGTGGAAGATAGTTCGAATCTCTTGAGCTGATGAAGACATATACCTAATTGAAGAATGTGGATTGTCTTGCAAGAGATTCATAGTTATTTACATTTGATTCATATTTCATGGAAACTACATATATATTCTTTTCTTTATTTTTACTTTTTTTTCTTTGATTCGTTATCTTCCGACAAAGCCTTGATGTTCTTCTTTTCATTTTTTTAATTTTGAATTGTTATCTCCTAACATAGCAAGTTATGGAACATAGGTTGCGGCGTGATACTAATGTTTCTCAAAATCAATTTGGATTCATGCCGGGTAGGTCGACTATGGAAGCCATATATTTATGAAGAGGTTTTAATTTTAGATATCTTGGATCTATTGTTCAAAGTGATGGTGAAATAGCTGGGGATATTATCAGCAGAATTCAAGTTGGATGGTTGAAGTGGAGGAATGCACCGGGCTTGTTGTGTGATATAAAAGTACCCCTCAAACTTAAGGGAATATTCTATAAGATGGTGGTGAGGCCTGCAATGCTTTATGGTACCGAATGTTGGCCATTAAAAGAGAAGCATAATACTAAGTAAAGTGTGGGAGGATGCTCAGGTGGATGAGTGGCCCTTAGAGATAGGATATGAAATGAGCATATACCTGAAAAGGTTGGAGTAGCTCCAGTAGAAGATAAGAGTAGAGAGAGTCGCCTTAGATGGTTTGGTCACATAAAACGGCAGCCTTCCGATGACCTTGTTAGGAAGGTAGAGGTATAAGATTTGACTTATGTTAAGAAAGATAGAGACAGACCTAAAAAGAATTGGTTATAAAATATTAGGAATGACCTTTCTTTATTAGATTTAAACAAGAATTTGACTTTTAATAGGACACAATGAAAAAAAAGATTCATGTAGCTGACCCCACGTAGTGGGATAAAGGCTTGATGTTGTTGTTGTTGTTGTATCTCCTAACATAGTCGCTCAGACAATCTTGCGTTGTTCTTGAAGTTCTTTTATCGTATTTTTAGTTTCTTGGGATTTCTCTATTTTTCACTCAATATGTAATGGTTTCAGATTCCAGAAAGAATGCCTCAAAAAAGAACCACCAACACATGCTTAAGAAGCCACATATTCTAAACCCAAGGGAAATCCAATAAATAGTCTGTAATGATTATATATGCACAAAAGATTTTGTAAATTTTTGACTTTTTTATCCCCTAAAGATAATTTTATTTTTAAAGAAATATTTTTTAGCTTTCTGCTTATTTTTTGGTTTATTCTTCAAGTTTGTCTTTAATTTCTGCCCTCTTTCCTTTAGCTAATGTCTATCATCTTACCCTAACCAATTGTTGAATATTTTTTTGTAGGTCAAACTCATGTGCTCTTACTGTAAAAAACATTCAGAAACTGAAGTCCCAGATCCCTACTATGGAGGCCCACAAGGATTTGAAAAGGTAATTAGGAAATTAAATGTTAGGAATTTTAAGATTCACTAATAATAAAAGCAGAAGCTCAAGAATATACCTCCTGTCGTAGCAATCTGAATTATAATCTCTAGGATTAGGGATTCTTTGATTACTTCTTCTAAGACGCAATGATAGAAACTCAGACTCTCTCTTTAAGACCAGTTATCATTTTTCACTGTAAAGTTTAAGGTTATATTTTCTCAATGACTTCTTCCCATCAAAGAAGATAAATAAATAACTATAAATGGGTTTCATAATTGATTTTTTTAAATTTATTTTAAAATAAACTTATGTTTCTAATAGCACTCACAGCATTTCCTAAGCTAGTGGAGCTGCATCGAATGCATCAAGACCGCTGATTTACAACTAACCAACACACATCAACGCTACACCTGTAAAGTAAAAAGTAGCATTCTGCACACATTGTACACCTTTTTCTTTTATATACAGTAGCATTACATTGTAAACAACATGTATTCAATATAGTAAATTCCAATGGGTAATACACTGTGCTATGTAGTTTTTCTGTGTTACTACAAACATAGTATTGTCTGCTGCTTGGATTAGCATTTCTTACACGGTGTCAGAGCTCTTGCACCTCACGGTATAGAGGATGGAGCAATCCGATACATATCAGGTTGAATCTTTTCCCAACCCCAAATCCTATCCTCTCTAAAATTTGTTTTCTCTAATATCAAAGTCATCATCCCAACTCAGTGACTCTCAACTCAACTATCTAACGACACATACTCCATCTGGAAATCACAAATCATCAAACTATTCTCCGCCAATGGCTTCTCCGGCTTTCTTTACGGTACAAATCTCATTCCTCTCCTCACATAGCTAATCCCGGCTCCTCTTTCAGTGACAATCCTGCATACAAACAATGGCATCTTATAGACCAAAATCTGGCCTCCGCCTTGTGCTCTACCCTTACAGCCTTGTGCTCTACCCATCGCCTTTGCCAACATTCCCGTCTTCCATGAAAGAACTAATCACATCGAGATCGATTATCACTTCATTCGGGAACAAGTTCAAGCCCATCGCATTTGCCTGCTTCCTATCGCTTCACACGATCAGCCCACAGACATCCTTACCAAACATCTCTCCACAGATCACTTTCAGCAACTTCGTACCAAACTCACCGTTCAGCCAATACCGGGAGTTTGAGGGGTGATAAAACACTCACAGCATTTCCTAAGCTATTGGAGCTGCATCCAATGCATCAGGACCGCTGATCTACAACTAACCAACACACATCAATGCTACACCTGTAAAGTAAAACGTTGCACTCTGCACACACAGTATAACATTACATTGTAAACAACAGGTATTCAATTAGTAAATTCCAATGGGTAATGCACTGTGCTCTGAGTTTTTTGGTATTACTACAAACATATTATTGTCTGCTGCTTGCGTTAGTGTTTCTTACAGTTTCCAATATTAGCTAGTGTTGTTCTATGCTTTCCTAACGATGGATATTAGAATACCTGTCTGGATGTGTTTAAGACTGAAGATACATACAGACTAATAATTTCTTATAAATTTTAAATAGCACATGATTCATGGCCGCAAAATAAATGTTACGAAGTGAGAATCTTCTTCACTATTAGAATGTTGAATGTTCTAAGCAATTCCCTATTTATTTTTTATTTATATTTATGAGATTGCTATACATTTATTGAGAGGTTCAATGGAGAAGTATAGAGAGAATAAAGAGGATCTATATATATGATATTTATTGATTTAGAAAAAGCTTATGATAAAGTTCCAAGAGAAGTGTTGTGGAGAGTTCTAGAAAAGAAAGAGGTTAATAATGTTTATATTCAAGTTATTAAAGATATGTATGTATGAGCTATTACTTGTGTTCAAACACAAGGTGGTTTGACCAAGTATTTTCCTATTTCAGTTGGATTGATCAGCCTTAAGCCCATAATTTTTTTTGCTTTAGTCATGCATGTACTTACTAGACATTTGCAAGTGGATGTACTTGGTGTATGCTTTTTGCTGGTGATATTCTTGTTGATAAGACTGGAGAGGGAGTTGAAGTTAAACTTGAATTATGGAGGCCAACCTTAGAGTCGAAAGATTTTCATTTGGGTAGATCTAAAAGTGAATACATGGAGTGCAATTTTAATAGTATAGATCTAGTTGGGGGATTGTGACTTTGGGTGATCAAGTCATTAATAAGAGTATATGTTTTAAATCTATATGGTCTATTATTCAGAGTGATGGCGAAATAGATGGAGATATTATTTATAAAATTCAAGTTTAATGGATGAAGGGCAGGAATGCATCAAACTTAAGGGAAAATTCTATAAGATGGTGAGATGAGCAATGCTTTATGACATAGAATGATGGCTATTAAAAGAGAAGCATAATATTAAGCATAGTTTTAGAAATCGGACTGCTTCAATCATGAATCAGTCTGATTCAACTTAAGAGCCATATTTGTATCAAATCGGGCTGAACTGACAAGAACCATCAGTTCAACCATTGAACTTGTCCCGGTTTTCTAAAATTAGCCTTTTTAAGTGTTTTTTGTTTACATAATTAAACAAATTACTTTAATATTAAACTTAATAAATTAATATAGATATTATATATTAAAGGTTTTAAATGTTATATTATTTATATGTATAATTTATATCTAACTATGTAACATAAATTAGTAATAATTTATATTAATTTATATGCTTATATGTAAATTAAATTTAGAATAAAAATCAAATTTAAAAAAGGAAAACTATTTAAATTTAAAATTATAAAAAAATATTATGCATGAATTCTCTTAATTTTTTAGTCACAAAATTATATGGTTATATAATTATTACAATATTATTATACCATTTAGACCTTATTTAAATATTATTAATATTTATTACATCATCCGATTTAATCCCGGTCGAACCATTGAATTTTGAACTTATTCTTTTGGTTTGATGTTCAATTCGGTTTTCACAACCTTGATATTAATTTATGCGTTGTAGATATAAGAATGCTTAGGTGGATGAGTGGCTTTACTTTTGGAGACAGGATATGAAACGAGCATATACGTGAAAAGGTTGGAGGAGCTCCAGTGGCAAATAATATTATAGAGAGTGTCGCCTTAGATGGTTTGGCCACATAAAATGACAGTCTTTAAATGATCAAATTAGGAGAGTAGATATATTAGATTTGACTTATATTAAGAAAGGTAGAGGTAAAGGTAGACCTAAAAAGGTTTGGTTAGAAAATATTAAAAATGACATTTCTTTATTAAATTTAAATGAGAATTTGACTCTTAATAGGACACGGTGGAGAAAAAGGAATCATGTAGCCGACCCCACATAGTGGGATAAATGTTTAATGTTGTTATTGTATTTATGAGATTACTCTCTTGGTTATCATTGATGTAAGGTGTGTAATTTTCCCTTTTAATTGTGCTCAGCTTTTAAGTTCTAGCATCTTTAATTGCAGGTTTTGGATCTATTGGAAGATGGATGTGAGGTTTTAATTGACAACATTCTTTCTGAGAACTGTCAAGAACTCCCTATAGATGGAGGAACCTTTTCTTCTTGAAAATCAGACGCCCCAGTGGAATTCTAGGTGAGATTGCTTCGGAAGTTTGTAGGCATTTTTTATTAATCCATGTACAGAGAAAAACAATCATATGCAAAACTTTGATCATTGAAACTTATTTTTGTTTGGGAAGTTTGGACTATTAAATATATACAGTATGACTACAATGAACTTAATGTTTTTGCTAATACTAGCATGTTATGTTGGTTAATATATTTAGAGTGGTATGCTAGTATAAAATCAATTTTTGTATGCTACTACTTGGTAGACAAAGCTGTTCATCTTGTAATGGTTAATCTACTAGGCATAGTCAATTTTGTTTTAATTTGACTCAGATCATAGTAAAAAAAATGATCAAATTTAGACCAAAATTTATAATTTGAGGTAAAATTTTAGCATATCTGAAATTGAGCTTATGCATTATAATTATTTTCTCATGAAAAAAGTAGTTTCTTTGTAGGAATCTAAAGCCGTTGGGGGCTTTGCATCAAATCGTTTTGACAGTTTAGTAGAAGGTTAGAATGGATTCACCTAGAGCATTTTAGGAAGAAATAAAGCCTATTTATATCAACTTGAGAATCGTAGTAATTATACAGTAGGTGTCTTCATTGAAATAATCTCAATCACAAACAGGGCAAATCAACGAGACAGATTCTTGACGATTCCAATTTCCAAAGGAATGAAGACTTTTCACGCCCATGCCCGTGCCCAAGTAACGTGACGTACATGACTCTTGACCATACAACTAAGGTTAAATTTTGATTGCGCCAAAATGATGTTGATGCAAACAAACTACTTGGAAGGTCTAGTAAGATATACTTTCGGTGAAATAAAATCTTTTTTGATGAAACTTATTTTAGATGCTCTACAAAGTAGGAATGATGAGTCCAGATACTTGTAAGCTAACGTAGGAAGTTCGATCCATGGAGTTTAAGGCACATAATGGCACATATTAAAACACAAAAATACAAACAACTCCCTACAATCCTAGCAAAGCTCTGATAACAAAGAAATATATTAAACCTCTCCCTCACATGAACAAAAAAAAAAGAAGCCATGAACCTAGTTCTCTTGTTGTTAATGCTGCTAGTTTCAAACAGAGATATATTAGGCTTTCTCAAGACACTTGTCGGTAAAGAAGTAGATATAGAAGAAGAATGAAGCACTTCAGCTAGAGGACCTCTCATGAAAGCTTCCCCGTGGCTTTCTGTTAGGTCGACCCCGCCTGGGCCGGCTGGACTAGTCCTTACTTACTCCAGGCAGGCCCCACGTGGGTGGGGGAAGAGCCTTGTGGGCCCATGCTTGGGTTTAATTCAAGTGTTTGAGGAAAGTTTTGAATGGAAGGGGAGCAATTTGAATATAAGGGTTGTTTAGGGATTTTGTATGGGGGCTTTGGAGTTAATTAGGGGTTAAGGGGGATTTAGGGTGTCATCTTGAATTTGGGCTAATTTTTTAGATCTTCTTGGAGGTTTGGGCTCTAGTTTTTTTGACTAGAGATTTTGGAGAGTTCTCTTCCTCTCGAATTGAAGAATTTTGTATGGTTGTTGTCTTTATTCACCTACTATTGGAATACAAATGGTTGGCTTGATTTTCTTCATATTTCTACTAAGTTTCTTTGTTGTTTTTCACTATTTCGGGCTGTTTTCATGCTGCAAACAGCAGTTTCGTTGCTGTTTGTTCACCAATTTGGGATAGGTTTGCTTGCGAACTCAAGTATTACCTTAGGGTTACTTGCGAACTCAAGTATTTTATATCAAATTGGTATCAGAGCGTTGTCTTGGGACCATCAAAGGATGAAATTTTGCAATTTCAGTGTTTCTGCTCACACAAAAGATTTCTTTTGGGTGCCTCATCGAAGGAATTATGGCTGGACGAAAAGTTGAAGACTTAGAGGGAGAAATAAGTTAATTGAAGATAGATTTTGAGGAGAAATTTTCAGATTTTCAAAGTCAATTTGTGCCCGTTCATGAAAAGATAGATGGAAGGTTCACCGCTTTGGAAGATTTGATGAAGAAAATGCTTGAAGACAAACAAAAACCGGCAACAACGGAATCGAAGGAGACCACCGACGTCCAGGGAAGAGGAGGTATGACTCCGCTAGAACCACTGTTTAGGGAAGAGATGAGTATGTAATATGAAAGGAGGGGTGCTAATTTTGTTGGAAGAATGGAAGAATTCTACTGTCGGGGTGCTGATTCTGGAGGAAGGAGGGGGGAGTACGATGAAGGGTTTGAGTATAATCGCAGGAGAGAGGACCGTGAAAATTGGGGAGCGCCTCCCTTTCAAGGAATGGGAGGTTATGGAGGATTATGGGGGAATGTGGGTGATCCAAGGGTGAGAAAATTGAAGATGTCCGTCTTTGAGGGTGAGGACGGTCATGACTGGATCTACAAAGTGGAATGATACTTCGCCGTCAATGGGTTGACAGAGGAGGAGAAGCTGATAGTGGCAGGATTGTGTTTGGAAGGAAAGGCACTTGCATGGTATCAATGGCGTGAAAGGAGTGAGCTCATTCGAAATTGGATGGAGTTCAAAGAATGTTTACTATAACGTTTTCGAACCGAGAGGGGAGGATACTTCTAAGAACAATTCTTTGCCTTGACTCAGGAGGCGACCGTAACCGATTACCGCAATAGATTTGAGTATTTGGTCAGCAGATTGGATCATATCTCAGAGACAACATTGGAGGGAAACTTTATGAAGGGCTCAAACCAGAGATATGGGTAGCAGTTAGAGTCTTGGAGCCAATAAACCTGGGGAAAGCAATTGAGTTGGCACAACTAGTAAAAAAACAGAGGAGGATGGAAATAATGGCTAGGGGAAGCAACTCAGGGTGGTCATATAGGATGACCACCACCTTTTTACCTCCCAGGGGACCAGCGCCAGGGAGCATGAAGGAGGTGCCTAAGGAGAGAGCTGGAAGAGGGGGAAATTTTAAGAAACTAACTGAGAATGAGATACATGAGAAGAAGAAAAGGGGTTGTGTTTTAGGTGTGATGAGAAGTACATACTGGGGCATCAGTGCAAGGACCGAACTCTTTAGGTTCTCACTGTCTGTGATGACGAGGAAGCTGAAGAGAGAGGTGGAAGCAGGCTAGAATTGGAGAAGGAGAAAAAGTTGCATCTGGATGTGGCCGAAGTATCCCTGAACTCTGTAGTGGGATTCACTCCTAGTCACACTATGAAAGTGAAGGGAGAGAGTGGATATAGAAGTAGTGGTATTGATAGATAGTGGACAACCCACAATTTCATTTCCATCCAGATTGTTGATCAGCTTGGGATGGAATTAGTAGATACAGGAGGCTATGTGTGATGATGGGCACATGAAAGGTAGAGATGGGTATAAAATTTTTTAAGGGAGTTGTGCTAATGATTCAGGAGATCAAGGTGAGGTAGGACTTTCTTCCATTAAAACTGGGAAGCACTGATGTCATCTTAAGGATGAAATGACTATAGTCCTTGGGAGATACCAAGGTGAATTGGGGGACATTGAGGATGAAACTGGTGAATAAGGGAAAGGAGATGGTTATTCAGGGTGATGCAGGGCTAACTAAGACTGGGGTATCCCTCAAGTCTTTGATCAGAATCATAGAGGAAGTGGGAGGAGGATACTTGATGAAGTTGCATCACTTGGAGGGGGTCAGATTGGAGGAAGAGGGAAACATCCCCTCTTCAGTTAGCTGTTCATACAACAATTCAGCGAGATTTTCCAACCTCCTTAGGTCTACCACCACAAAGGGAGTTGGAGCATGCCATTATTTTAAGCGAAGGAGAGACACCGATCAAGGCCTGACCCTACCGTTACCCTCACATATAGAAAGATGAGATTCAAAGGTTGATCTGGGAGATGCTGGAGGCAGAGATCATCAGACCGAGTGTGAGTCCTTTCTCTAGTCCTGTCCTCTTGGTCAAAAAGGAGAATGAGAGTTAGCAATTCTATGTGAACTACAGAGTATTGAATAAGGGGACAGTGCCAGATAAATTTTCTATTTTGGTGATTGATGAGCTCTTGGACGAGTTATATGGTGCAGTGATGTTTTCCAAGTTAGACTTGAAATCCGGGATACAATCATATCAAAATGAGGGAGACAGACATTTCGAAGACAGCATTCAGGACACATGAAGGGCATTATGAGTTTCTAGTAATGCCATTTGGTCTCACTAACACCCCTGCTATTTTTCAGTCTTTGATGAATAGGGTATTCAAGCAGTACCTCATGAAGTTTGTCATGTTATTTTTTTGACATTCTGATGTACAACAAGACAGGGGAGGATGCATCTTGGACATCTGAAGGTAGTTTTGGGAATACTTCAAGAGCATCAGTTGAGAGCCAACCTGAAGAAATGCAGATTTGCCCAGTTTAGTGTGGAGTACTTAGGACATGTGGTGTCCTAAGGAGTGGCGGCCGACCAAACCAAAATTGAGGCAATGCAGAAATGGCCTCTGCCTAAGAACATAAGGGATTTGAGGGGATTCCTAGGATTAACCGGTTACTACATGAGGTTTGTGAAGGGTTACGGTACCATTACATGGCCTTTGCCCAAGCAGCTGAAGAAGGACAACTTTTCATGGGGAGAGACAGTGACTCAAGATTTTGAGAGATTGAAGAAAGCCATGACTTCTGTTCTAGTTCTAGCTCTGCCGTACTTCAGCTAGGTCTTTGTAGTAGACCAAACCAAAATTGAGGCAATGCAGAAATGGCCTCTGCCTAGGAACATAAGGGATTTGAGGGGATTCCTAGGATTGATTGGTTACTACAGGAGGTTTGTGAAGGGGTACGGTACCATTGCATGGCCTTTGACCAAGCAACTGAAGAAGGATAACTTTTCATGGGGAGAGACTGCGACTCAAGCTTTTGAGAGATTGAAGAAAGTCATGACTACTGTTCCAGTTCTAGCTCTGTCGGACTTCAGCTAGGTCTTTGTAGTAGAGACAAATGCATTAGGATATAAATTGGGGGCAATGTTGATGCAGAACCACATACCTATAGTATACTTCAGTCAAGTGTTATCTATAAGGGCGAAATTGAAGTCAATTTATGAGAGGGATTTGGTGGTCATTATCTTGGCTATTCAGAAGTGGTGCCCTTATCTGTTGGGTAGACAGTTCATTGTATGAACGGATCAGAGCAGCTTGAAGTACCTGTTGGAGCAACGGATGGTGACCAAGGAGCATCAGAGATGGTTGTCCAAACTATTAGGCTATGATTTTG